GTGCAAAGATCGATGGCACAATGGAAGACACAGTTGCAGATCAATGGTGAGAGGCTGGGAGAGGTTAATATCAAGAGAGGAATATTTCAAGGAGATTCATTATCACCATTACTATTTGTTATTGCACTGTTTCCTCTGTCAACAATACTGAATAACTCAGGACATGGTTATCAAACATCAAAAACATCTGCTAGACTATCCCACCTCCTTTACATGGATGATCTGAAGCTGTATGGAAAAACATCATCTGAAATAGAATCGCTGCTCAACACTGTCCGTATATATAGCCAAGATATTGTAATGGAGTTTGGCTTGGACAAATGTGCCACACTTACTATCAAACAAGGAAAAATAGTGAAAACTGAAGGAATCAAGATGCCCCACGAAAATAACATTAAGAGTCTGGATGAGGAAGAATACTACAAATACTTGGGTATCCTTCAAGCTGACAACATCAAGCACACTGAAGTCAAGAAAAAGATTAGAGGTGAATACATCAAGAGAGTGAAGAAGATCTTAAAATCCAAACTCAATGGAGGAAATACCATAAAGGCAATCAACACCTGGGCAATCCCAGTCATTAGGTACACAGCTGGAATAGTGGACTGGACTCAAGCAGAACTAAAAGCAATGGATAGGCAGACCAGAAAAATAATGACAATGAATCATGCCCTTCATCCACGCAGTGACATTGATAGACTTTATCTACCAAGGCAAATAGGTGGGCGTGGAATGCTACAAGTACATCAGATGGTTGAAGAAGAAAAAATGGCTTTGGAAGAATATCTGAAGAACAATGATGAAGATGCACTGAAATTAGTATATCAGGAAGGCTTACTAACTACTGGAGAGACCAAACTGGCCTACAAGAAAGACCAAATGAAGAACAGAATAGAGGCATGGGAAGACAAAGCACTACATGGCCAATACATTAAAAAAATAGCTGGGAAAGCAGATAATAATAAAACCTGGCAATGGCTAAGAGCAGGAAAATTGAAGAAAGAGACCGAGGGACTAATTCTGGCTGCACAAGACCAAGCCTTAAGGACAAATGCATACAAAGTCAAAATTGAGAAGACAGCAACAGACAGTAAGTGCCGCCTATGCAAAGAAGCTGAAGAAACAGTGGACCACCTGGTAAGCTGTTGCAAGAAGATTGCACAGACTGACTACAAGCAGCGGCATGACAAAGTAGCAACAATGGTGCATTGGAAGATCTGCAAAAAATATCATTTGCCTGTAAGCAAAAACTGGTGGGATCATAAAATAGAGAAAGTCATAGAAAATGATAAAATTAAACTGCTCTGGGACTTCAGAATTCAAACAGACAAGCACCTGCAACATAACACCCCAGACTTAACAATTGTCGATAAGAAAGACAAAAAAGTCTGGATAGTGGACGTGGCAGTGCCTGGAGACAGCAGAATAGACGAGAAAGAACTGGAGAAGATAACAAAATACAAAGACCTACAAATAGAAATAGAAAGACTGTGGCAAAAGCAAGCAAGTGTAGTACCAATAGTAATAGGCTCCTTGGGTGCAATCCCAAAACAACTGGAGCCACTTGAACACCATTGGCATTGACAAATTCGCTATTAGTCAATTGCAAAAGGCGGCCTTACTAGGAACTGCTTCCATCCTGCGACGATATCTGTAATACCATCAAACATCCACATCTGCCTATCCCAGGTCCTGGGTAGGGACTCGATAGGTAGACAAAATGCCAAATCCAGTCTGAACATCTGGCTGACTGTGCGATGATCCATAATAATAATAATAATAATAATAATAATAATAATAATAATAATAATAATAATAAAGCTGTTGCAAGAAGATTGCACAGACTGATTACAAGCAGCGGCATGACAAAGTAGCAACAATGGTGCATTGGAAGATCTGCAAAAAATATAATTTGCCTGTAAGCAAAAACTGGTGGGATCATAAAATAGAGAAAGTCATAGAAAATGATAAAATTAAACTGCTCTGGGACTTCAGAATTCAACAGACAAGCACCTGCAACATAACACCCCAGACTTAACAATTGTCGATAAGAAAGGCAAAAAAGTCTGGATAGTGGACGTGGCAGTGCCTGGAGATAGCAGAATAAGAAAAAGAACTGGAGAAGATAACAAAATACAAAGACCTACAAATAGAAATAGAAAGACTGTGGCAAAAGCAAGCAAGGGTAGTACCAATAGTCATAAGCTCCTTGGGTGCAATCCCAAAACAACTGGAGCACCACTTGAACACAATTGGCATTGACAAATTCGCTATTAGTCAATTGCAAAAGGCGGCCTTATTAGGAACTGCTTCCATCCTGCGACGATATCTGTAATACCATCAAACATCCACACCTTCCTATCCCAGGTCCTGGGTAAGGACTCGATAGGTAGACAAAATGCCAAATCCAGGTTGACTGTGCGATGATCGATAATAATAATAATAATAATAATAATAATAATAATAATAATAATAATAATAATAATAATAGGGTTTTGGTTGAAACATCTGTTATACACCCTCTCATTGCCAAGCAGTTCAACAATATACTACAAGGAGGAGAAATTGAAAAGTGGCTAACAACTGGGAAAACCTACCTAATAATGAAAAATCCAGCAAAAGGGGCAACACCAGGCAACTACAGGCCAATTACCTGCTTACCAACAACTTTCAAATTACTAACTGGTGTGGTAGCTGATGCAGTACAACAGCATCTAGTTGAAAACAATCTCTTTCCACCTGAGCAGAAAGGAAACCGCCCCAATAGCAGAGGAACAAAAGATCAACTCCTAATAGACAAAATGATCTTGGAAAACTGCAAGAGAAGGAAGACCAACCTGAATGTGGCATGGATTGACTACAAAAAGGCATTTGACTCTCTGCCACATGATTGGATAATAAAGTGCCTAGAAATAACAGGAGTCAGTAGAAACATCAGAAAATTTGTGCAAAGATCGATGGCACAATGGAAGACACAGTTGCAGATCAATGGTGAGAGGCTGGGAGAGGTTAATATCAAGAGAGGAATATTTCAAGGAGATTCATTATCACCATTACTATTTGTTATTGCACTGTTTCCTCTGTCAACAATACTGAATAACTCAGGACATGGCTATCAAACATCAAAAACATCTGCCAGACTATCCCACCTCCTTTATATGGATGATCTGAAGCTGTATGGAAAAACATCATCTGAAATAGAATCGCTGCTCAACACTGTCCGTATATATAGCCAAGATATTGTAATGGAGTTTGGCTTGGACAAATGTGCCACACTTACTATCAAACAAGGAAAAATAATGAAAACTGAAGGAATCAAGATGCCCCACGAAAATAACATTAAGAGTCTGGATGAGGAAGAGTACTACAAATACTTGGGTATCCTTCAAGCTGACAACATCAAGCACACTGAAGTCAAGAAAAAGATTAGAGGTGAATACATCAAGAGAGTGAAGAAGATCTTAAAATCCAAACTCAATGGAGGAAATACCATAAAGGCAATCAACACCTGGGCAATCCCAGTCATTAGGTACACAGCTGGAATAGTGGACTGGACTCAAGCAGAACTAAAAGCAATGGATAGGCAGACCAGAAAAATAATGACAATGAATCATGCCCTTCATCCACGCAGTGACATTGATAGACTTTATCTACCAAGGCAAATAGGTGGGCGTGGAATGCTACAAGTACATCAGATGGTTGAAGAAGAAAAAATGGCTTTGGAAGAATATCTGAAGAACAATGATGAAGATGCACTGAAATTAGTATATCAGGAAGGCTTACTAACTACTGGAGAGACCAAACTGGCCTACAAGAAAGACCAAATGAAGAACAGAATAGAGGCATGGGAAGACAAAGCACTACATGGCCAATACATGAAAAAAATAGCTGGGAAAGCAGATAATAATAAAACCTGGCAATGGCTAAGAGCAGGAAAATTGAAGAAAGAGACCGAGGGACTAATTCTGGCTGCACAAGACCAAGCCTTAAGGACAAATGCATACAAAGTCAAAATTGAGAAGACAGCAACAGACAGTAAGTGCCGCCTATGCAAAGAAGCTGAAGAAACAGTGGACCACTTGGTAAGCTGTTGCAAGAAGATTGCACAAACTGATTACAAGCAGCGGCATGACAAAGTAGCAACAATGGTGCATTGGAAGATCTGCAAAAAATATCATTTGTCTGTAAGCAAAATCTGGTGGGATCATAAAATAGAGAAAGTCATAGAAAATGATATATTAAACTGCTCTGGGACTTCAGAATTCAAACAGACAAGCACCTGCAACATAACACCCCAGACTTAACAATTGTCGATAAGAAAGACAAAAAAGTCTGGATAGTGGACGTGGCAGTGCCTGGAGATAGCAGAATAGAAGAGAAAGAACTGGAGAAGATAACAAAATACAAAGACCTACAAATAGAAATAGAAAGACTGTGGCAAAAGCAAGCAAGGGTAGTACCAATAGTCATAGGCTCCTTGGGTGCAATCCCAAAACAACTGGAGCACCACTTGAACACCATTGGCATTGACAAATTCGCTATTAGTCAATTGCAAAAGGCAGCCTTATTAGGAACTGCTTCCATCCTGCGACGATATCTGTAATACCATCAAACATCCACATCTGCCTATCCCAGGTCCTGGGTAAGGACTCGATAGGTAGACAAAATGCCAAATCCAGTCTGAACATCTGGCTGACTGTGCGATGATCGATAATAATAATGTTATTGCTATTGAATTTGCTTTGAATACATTTTTCCTTGCTCTTTGTGGAAAGATTTTATGATTATTATAAACGGCTTCAGGACTTTTTTAAGAAAAAAAATTACAGAAATGTTATCATTATTACTGCTTAGTAGACTAATCTCCTTCCACCATTATTATTTCATAAATAATCACTCATTGTCAATAAAGCAATTTCTGTTCATCTTTCATTAACAATAAAGCAATTTCTATACTAGAAAGAAACTAAATACAAAGAAACTAAAAAAAAACTGCTTACCTCCACAGAGAGCAGGGGGGTTCCAACCATTAGCAGTACATTTAGAAATTTTGCAGGGGAGTCTCATAATGTTAGAAAATTTATTTCTACGACAGAATATTGTAATTTCATCATTGTACATGTATTGAGATCGGCTAGGTTGAATGTAACCTTTCCTCACTTCTGGAGGGGGACACTGAATTTCTACAGAGGAATATGAATAGAGAAACATAGTCAATAAATCACTACCTTTGAGACTATTGCACTGCAAAATGAGGAGATCCTCATGCTATAAACCTTAAAGTAAACCTATAGAATTTAATTTGCTTTATGATTTTTTTTTTCAATTTGCTTTGGGACCTTTATCTGACTCATATGTTTCAGTTCTGTTAGCATCACCAGATGGATGGGCTAAGGAAATCAACTCCTCAGGAAGCCTAAGACTGCCTTCACTAAAATTTACTGTAATAATATCTTACACCTCTGATTGAGCTATATTCCTCCTCCTTTATTCATTAAATAGAAAAGAAGGCCTGAGATCCTTTAAGTGTTATCTTGTTTTTCTGAACTTAAAAATGCTTCTACCCCTTTTTCCTAGGTAACAGTTCCTGCATATCTCTTTGTCAAGAGAATCTTTCTTACTTTCTCCATAGGTATATGGAAAGATCACCATAGAATATTATCACCAGATTGATGATTCCTGCATTAGCTATCAAGCAATTGCCTCAATGTAAAAAGGTTGGGGTGTATCAAATATAGAAGACATCTGCAGAGGAAAGCTAATATCTTGTATCTTTCCTCTAAGCTAGGGCCCCCAACTCTTAAGTTCCTCAACCTCTTCATGATGTTTAGATTGTTCACTGACCCCCAAACATGTATTATACTTGAATAATTTAGTACCAAAGGGCTAGAACAACAACAACAACAACAATAAGAAAAGCATACATTAGTTGATTATATAAATGACAGTCAAGAACAAGCATGGATACAAGTTAAAAATTTGAACTTACTGAATGTGCTGGGGGGGGAATTAATATTGAAATAATATAATAAAAACATGATCACAATTCTATCAAGGAAAAGCAATACATGTCAGTTTCTACAAAGGTTTGAGGGGAAAGTGAATAAAGATAAAACCTGCAATGGCTACAACTGGAACAAAAAGGAAAAAAGAAACGGAAAGCTAGATTTTGGCTGCTTAAGACCAAGTTATTCAAACTAATCCTATTAAGGACACAGCTGAAAATTTACTCATTTACTCAGCTCATGCAAGAAATCACACAAGCTGATTATAATTAACAAAATAATAAAGTTACCAAAATGATTCACTGAAACTTTTGTCAAATTATCAGGTGCCAGTAACAAAAAAAAAAATTGCTGGGAACATAGAGTTGGATAAGTTGTTGAAAATGAACAGATTAATATATTATGATATGTCCTAATTCAAACTGATGAAGTCTTGGCTCATAACATACCAGGTATAATTGTGGTTGAAAATAAGAAAGTGTGGATAATTGATGTGGCAACATCAGGGGATAACAGAATAGAAAACAAGAATTGGAGAAGATCACAAAGTAACAAGACATGAAAATCAAAGTTGAAAGTTTATTTAATTTTTAATTTTTATCCTGCCTTTATTGCTTTATAAGTAATTAAAAGTGGCAAAAACGTAATACTACTTCATCCTATTTTAACCTCAAAACAACCATATGATGTAGGTTGAGATGAGATAGACTGATTGCCCCAAAGTCACGCAGCTGACTTACATTATGGCATAATCTTGCCATGATGGTCCCAGTCAGTGATGGCGAACCTTTTAGAAACCAAGTGCCCAGAATGTAACCCAAACCCCATTTATTTATTGCCGGGTGCCGGGTGGGCAGGGTCACTGGGTGGGTGTGGCCACTGGGTGGGCATGGCTGCAGTGGTCATGGCAGACTGGGTGGGTGTGGCCAGGGTGGGGATGGCCATCTCGATGTTGCTCGAGGGGAGAGACACATGTGCGGACCAGGCAGGGTTGGGAGAGATACAGGGGGTCTCTGGTGGGTGGGATGGTGGGCAGGAGGCTTGTCCTATGGGCAGGGGGCAGGGAGCAGGGCAGGGGTGCCATTGACGCTGGGCAGGACAAGGCAAGGTAGGGGCTGGGGTGACTGCTGCCTGAGCGTATGGGAGCCAACTGTGTCCATCAGCAGCCACAGCCTGCCAGCCCCTCGGTTTCGGCATGAGGTGGCTGCTGCTGATGACTCTGCCTACAGAGACATCAAAGCAGCAGATGGAACACCGGAGGTCGGGAGTCGGGGAGGCAGGGTGCTGAAGTGGGCAGTCAGGCCATTGGCAAGAGCAATGCATCTGAGTGGAAAGTGGCCTTGGAACAAGTGAGGCAGTAAGGAAAGAAATCCTCACTCCCCCCAGAAATTGTTTTTCTTTCTTTATCTGACTCCCAACCCCATGCCATTTCTCCTTCTCGATCCGCCGCCGCTTGCAAGGAAACAAAGGAACTTTTTTGGGGGAAAAAAGGTCAATCAATCAATTCCAACTTCTTGTGAAAGATCACGAAGTTGGAATTGATTGATTGACCTTTTTTCCCCAAAAATTTTCCTTTGTTTCCTTGCACGTGGTGGCAGATCGTGAAGGAGAAATGGCACAAGGCTGGGAGTCAGGTAAAGAAAGAAAAACAATTTCTGGGGGGAGCTTTCAAGGAGCTTTACTATCATCACTACTGTTTCTCATTGCACCATTTTTTCTTTCAACAATACTAAACAAGTCAAGGCATACCTATAAAACATCAAAAAGATCTGTCAGGCTATCCCACCTTCTTTACATGGACAATCTGAAACTATATGTAAAAACATCCTCTGAAATAGAATTTCTGCTGAACTCTAGCCTGTGGCCAACTGATCTTCTATGGCTCAATTCTGCCTCTAATGCATGCTTCCAAAAATAGCTTGTCTTACTTCTTGTGGGACTATCATCCAGATTGTCCCTAAAGGAAACAAATGCTTTTTCTAAACTTTGAGTTAGATACAACTCAATAAATGTTTGCCCCAAATGATCTTAAGAACAATATTGACTTGTTCTGAAGAAAGACATTGGACATTTTAAGTCTGATCAATTAAAATTAAAAGATAATAAAATATGCTGTTTTAGTTCCAAAAGTTCCAGGAAACTATGGAGCCTGATTTTTTGTTTATCATGGATGGCTACAATATTGAAATTATAGAATTAGTGGCTCTTTTTATACTATTCCTTTAAAACTCATTATAGTTACTTTAGGCAATCAGTATTCATATAAATAGCCCATAGATTTAGAAGAAAATTGAAACAGATTATTTTGCGTGTTAAAGAAAAGACATGACTCTTCTAAGACAATACTTGTTATTCATGTTATATGTAAGTATCTCTGGTGAAAATGAAACCCAATACCAACCCACAAAGACTCAATTCCTAAATTACCAGACATTTTTTTTTGATTGATTGGAGCTGCAATCCTATGCATCCAATGTGTATAAGATTTCAGAGTAACCATGACCATTAGAAACATATACATACTTGTACATTGAGGTTTTGTACTCCATCCATTCTTAGTACATAAGGCATCTGGTCTGCCAACATATCTGTATCCTTCATTACAGGAGAACCATATTCTCTCACCTTCCTTATAAACAAACTTTGCAGATAATATGGTTCCATGTTCAATATGATCTATCTGGCAAGTCATTTCTACTATAAAACACAAATATTTTTTCATTAATATTTTCTGTAATCAATAGAATAATAAAAAAGAAATGCTATATAACAAATCTAAATTATTAGAATCTTATGCAGATGAATGGGTAGGAATGCAATTGTACAATTTTGTTTATTGCATTCTGATAGAACATCCTCCCTTCATGTCTGTCCTATATCCTGTTGCAACTAAATAAGAACTTTAGACATGTACAAAATCTGCTAAAAAAATCTCATTGAGGTATGTCCCTCAGGGGAGGGAGGGAGAGAGGGAAGGAGGGAGGGAGGTAGGAAGGGAGGGAAAGAGAGAGGAGGAGAGAGAGAGAGAGAGAGAGAGAGAAATTCATAAAAAATAATGTGAATTTCTGGTGAAGAGTTAAATATATTGCCCCTAATCATAGTAATGTATGCAACTTTTACTTACAGACACATTTTGGTGGAGGTGACCATCCTTTTTTTGTGCATTCAACCACCTGTCCTCCATTATCTGGTTCAAAGGTAAATCCATTGTTACACTGAATTTGGATTAGATCCCTATCATAGTATATACTTCTTTTAGGTCGGAAAGAACCATTTGAGATTCTTGGAGAGTTGCATGTAATTTCTAGAGAAAATAAATAATATCTTTACTGAAAAAAGAAAAGCTTACTCTTGTATCAGATTTTGGGCATTGCTCTTCTATTAGCACAGAAAACAACAACATTATTATTTTGAATGTATATATTCAAAATTTTACAATTTTGATCGGCAGCCACTGATGGGCACTAACTAATTTAAAACTTACTACTGGTATCTAAAGTATACTATGAAAATCTACTGTGCACTGCAGTGTTGTAAAAATAAAGCTACAATGTGAATAACGCCATACTTGCTGTTCAGTTGCTGAAACATCTTGTATTTAAGAGGAAAATTATAATTATAAGTCTATGATATTCTTAAAGTATCTGCCATTACAAATTTCCAGAAAACCACAGATGAAAAATGGAACTCTTTCACTAAAAATAACTGTTCCTTGAATGAACACAGCAGAAACTGTTTCCTTTAGTAACCCCTTGATTTCTCTTCCTCTTAACTTACTATTTTGAGAAGAGCAGCCTGGCCAGATAAGAAAAGCAGCAATCAGGAGCAGCCAGCTCTTCATAGCTCTTCAGGCAATGTCTGAACCACCAGACCTCACTTCAGCAGTCTGGCTTTCGCAGGTGATTTCTTCCAGCTACTACCATCCTTTCCTCATTTTATATTGTTTGCTTGGTGTCAAGGAACCTTGGAGGAAGAAATATTACTGGAATAAAAAATATGACCTTAACAGATAACAAAGGACTCCATGGGAATCTTGGGAACTTTGTGTTACAATGATAACAACAAACAAATCAACCAATAGTTCAGTTTTTCAGAAAGAAAAATCACCACTTGAACTCTAGTTATTATGTGAATTGTTTCCTCATTCTTCCAGCTCTTAACAATGTATTTTTATTGTAAATTACCCAGAGTGAGTCAGATGAAATGGGCAGTGTAGAACTTTGATAACTAATTAAATTATATTTGATATCTGGTGTATCTATTTTGCATTTATTGTGTCAATAGTTACAGGAACCACAAGTTTGCAGCTATCCAATACTTTCCTTAAATGATTCTGGAGTTTAAACAATCAGCCAAATATAGTTAACCATTAGCCAATCATATGAGGGAGGCTATACATTTTGGTACCTATTTTTCCCACAGATACTGCAGGTACTGCAGATCTAAGATTAGGTTCCACTTATATGAATATCCAAAAGTTCAAAACTCCCAAGGGCTAGAAGAACCAAGAAAATAAGATATTGCTTCCTTATCAGAGGAAGAAACAAAGGTCAACCATTGTTCTCTCACTAAACAGGAAAATTCCCTTTTTACAAGGAAAATGTTATTTTGTATTTTATTTTCCTTATTTATATATATTATGAACTTACATTTGATAACTGACATATTTATTTTGCATTTATATGTCAACAGGTATAAGAACCACAAGTTTGCAGATACCCAAAACTTTCCTTAAATTTCTCTAGATCAGTGGTTCTCAACCTGTGGGTCGGGACCCCATTTGGGGTCGAATGACCATTTCACGGGGGTCGCCAAACAACGCAGTCCGCCATTTTTTTCCCCTTTTCCTTAGCTGTGCTACTCCCTTTTATTCTATTGGCTTTTGAAAGCCAATAGAATAGACTCTCTTGAATAGAGTCTAATTCTATGGGTTTCAAAAGCCAATAGGAATTGTCCAGGCTGTCTCTGCCCTACTGAGACCGCCAAAAGTCCCATTCTGCAAACGGTGCTGCACCAGTTGAGTAGTCCTCGACTTACGACTGGTTGGGGGTCGCGGCATTAAAAAGGTTGAGAACCACTGCTCTAGATTTTTATAGTCTTCAGTGAAATGTAGTTAACCCACGGACAATCATACCAGGGAGACTGTTTGCACAATTTAGAGCTTTTTTTCTTCCCATATTTTATAGATCTAGAATTAGGTTCCACTTATATAAATATCCAGAGGACAAAACAGTATCAACTCCCAGGGACTAGAAGAACAGAAAATATAAGACATTGTCTTTTTATCAAAAGGATACAAGATTTACCCTTATACTCTTACTAACATGAAAATTCCCTTTGACGAGGCAAAATGTGATTTTATATATCATTTTCCCTTTTTTGCCTTTTAGAGAAAATAGGGTGTCACCATTTTATAATATATTTTTCTTAAATTCAAAAATCTCTTTTTTTACAGATGTGTATGAAAAGTATTCTTTGCTGCCAGTTCCACCTACCTACTCTGAATATGTACTATCTGTCTTGTACAATTTCAAATGAGTCAAAAAGACTCCTCATCGGGTGTCTTTAGTGTAAACAGTGTTTGTCTCACTCAGGACCTGTAGAGGACAGAGGGAATGGCCTTGGAGGACAAGAAAAAGGCAGCTGTAAGAACAAAGGAGCCTTAGACCAGGCCGAAACAGGGGAGCACATGTAGACTTGCAAAATTCTATGACTGTCATTGATACAATAAATGTAGTACTGAACAACAGGGCATTGATTTCTTAGTCTAGTTTACTTTACAGGGCTTGAATCACTTTAACATGAATTTTTCTGCATTTCTTTTCCTCTAGCCCTATCAATACATCATAAGCTCACAAAATTGACTAACGTAATACCAAAGGACATCTGGCATAAACCACAATTATGTCACATATGTCAGGAGGATATTGTATAGATGAAATTGTTTGCATAAATCTCTGCATAATGATGTGATATCACAGATTCTTTCCCTCTTTGCAGAAACCCTTCTGTATTTGCTCATGATCAGCAACTCCAAATTCTGTTCAGGGAACTTCTTACTCTTTACATTTTTCATGCCCAAAGACTCTGCCCAGAACCACAATTATCCATTTGTGTATCATGTAAAAGAGCTGAAGAAGTATCATGAGAAGGAAGGCCTTTAACAATTTCCAGAAGAAAATCAATTTCTTCTTCTAATGCTCTCTGGCTAGCCAATAATATCTTTATCACAGTTTTGATATTAGGAGGGAAAATAGAAGGATGCATGTTTTTCTCCCGTGTCTGAGTCAGGACTCTTAATGTAATGCCTGAATATAAGAAGTTTATAAAAAGCAGGACGATTTATTGCAGGATGGATGAAATAAGTCATAGTCCAGTCTTGCAGGAATAACTTCCAGTATTTAGGATGGACAGGACTTTGAACCATAGCTTTGGTTAACATTGCAAAATTTATTCCCAGAACTATTGCAAAAGGCTGTTTAAACACTATATAAATAAAAAGGTAAATAATCGTAAATGACAGTGAATGCTCCTTATGAATAAAAGTGTTGTTCTTCTGAAAGAGCTTTGTAGGCATAAACCAAGATGAAAGCATTCAGAATCAGGATTCATCTTGGCTAATATCAATGAGAATTTATATCTCTTTAAAAAATAAAAAATGGAAATCATTTTTCTAGATGGGTTTATTATTCATTTAATGAACTCAAAACTTCTTCATGCTAAAATACCATTTTGAGTGTTCTCAAACTGCTTTAAAAAGGATTGATGGTTGTTAATTCTCCTTAATCAAATATTTTGGTGACACGTTTATACATAAAGGTGTACATTATTGATTTCAGGTACATTTTGAAAAATGTATATTATGTTAAATTATAATGGCTAGTGATGGGCCTATATATTTGCTATTATTTTAGCAATAACAACAACAACAACAACAACAACAACAATAATAATAATAATCTAGCTTTTGCAAAGTAGGCTTTTATTTTCAAGATCCATTGTGAACTACTGCAGAGTACATATATTTTCTAGAACAAACACAAATTTCATGTAGAGGTATTAAAGAGAATGATCCAAAATTATTGACATCCAAATGCCGGTTAAAAAGGGCTGCCTCATTCATTTCCATAGACCTAGAAAATAAAATGTAAGTTTGCAAGTTATATTTTAAAGAACTATTTCTTATACCACTTCATCTAGAACAGAATGCACACTTGATAATTTTATAATATTAAACTGATTCCACACATGAGCAATATGGAGGAAATATCAAATCTGATTATCTCAGTATGTTAAATCTAATGGCCAAATGGACACTCGTTCTAAAACATATTGTAGACCATTCTGTCACTAAGCAGTTGCTTGCTTCTATTGTTCCTCTCTAAAATCTTAGACATTTTAGGAATGTTGACACTAATCAGGATTATATATATATATATATATATATATATATATATATATATATATATATATTACGATCTAAATTATGGCAGGCAGAGTGATCCTTAAGCATAACCTTTAGGTTGAATAAAGGAACTGGGCTGAATCCAAATTTACTTCTGCTCAGACCCTCAGAAATCTATTGGATAGGTTAGATGAATCATCAGTAAATGGAATTTCTTTGATTGTAATGAATTGTTGGATCCAACCCAAGAATTTAAATGAAAAATTTAGGCTGACTCAAACCAAACTTGTTGCAATGGGACCATTGAAATCAATGAATACATGAGGATAAATTAGAGTTTCTCCTCACTTCAGCCCCAGAAGAGAGCACTTTGCAGGATTCAGGAAGAGATGAAATTATGGCAGCTGTTTGTAACTCTCTGATCCAATCCTCATTGTTTTTAAATATACCACCCACCACAGATATAGCCACTTCCCTTCTGTTGTTCTGAATGAAGGGAAACTGATTTAAATCACAGAACCCTTAAGAATTTCTCTGGTTTAGAACAATTGCAGAAAGCAAAATTAGTTCCATTTTACCCAGACATCTCTTTGAGTTTGTTAAATACTTCACGTTTTTAATCCATGGATACCCTTAAAATATATTTAAAAAAAAACTTTGTGAGTTCATTCAATCTTTCTCCCTCTCCATTATCCAAAGGAGACCTTTTGGGTTAAGATGATTGAGAAAAAGTCATCTTCCCTTTATGAGTCATATCCATGAAGTAATCTTATATCAATTTTATCTGAAAAAGACTGAGCTAATTTGGGCATAACCATTGATTCAAAGTGGGATAAGGAAAGCCAATGATGAAAATTGTAAGATACCTGAAAATCAGAATATTTCATTTGCATGCTGGTAATAAAAAGTGGGGGAGGAAAAAACAGGAAAAGAAGGGGAAAGTGTACATATTTTATAGCAGTGTGGAAGAAGCACCCCTTATTCCTTCCAGAGATTTGTCCAATTGGTTGTTTTTGGATGGACATTTACTAGTCTTTTCAAACCACAGGTAAATTGGTTCATTGTTCTTTCTGTCTTATGGGGCTTTCAGAAGGCTTGCAGCTTATGGTAAAAAAAAATCTAAGTGGCAGATTATCTGTATGAAGCAGAAGTCAACTTGAGTCAACTTGAGCTGATGAGAATCGAACTCCTGGCAGTGAGTAGAGTTATCCTGCAATACTGCATTCTAATCACTGTGCTCTTGTCTTGATATCTGACAAGAGTTGTGTAGCTGATGATCAACTACTAGATACTAAACAGGAAGGATTTGGGGCAAATCCATGCAGCCTGTGTGCATGGTACAAGGACAGTCCACTGTTTCCCTAACACGTCTGTATGCTTCTACCTGTATGTCAGGTTCAGATCGTGAGTTGGGCAAGTACATATCCCTCTGTGAATGTGTTAAGTGTTAAGCTTTTAGTTCAGAAAATAAACAATAAAAGGTGTAAACTCATTCTTGTAGCACTGTAGCACTTCTCTGATTGTGAGAGGATGTGCGCTTCTTTAAAGAATCACTTGATTAAATCATCTTCTCGGGTCCCTACAATATTCAGAGAGGTACTCCCTGTGTTGTGGCTTATAGATTATGGTTAATAACAACATGGAGCATCATAAT